TTTAAAATACAATTTTTCTTAGATATTAAAGAATTTTGTAAAAGTATATGATGTTTTAATAAAGGTCACCCCTATTTTCTCCCTACCAATTCCTCTCTAATCATCCTCTCAAGATTCCTTTCCAATTTCATGTGAGCCTTTTTTTTAAAAACCACAAAGCCGGAGAGATAAGTTTATTACTGAATAAAGAAAATTAAGAGCTTTTTTTTCTTTAGCGATTATGCCCAACGTCACCGTCTACCATCAGGGTGAAGATTTTGTTATGTTTCCTAAGTAAGCTATTAAAAAAATAGGCTTCACAGGAAATACCTTCATTTATTTCGGTATAATCCCTGTGAATAAACAGGGGGTAATATATATTTGTTGAATAAATTAAATGGTTGGCATGTGGGAAAATGCTTCACCCAGGAAGGCTGACGAAAGTGCATGTTGGAAAGTCTGCTACAGAGATAAACAGTTTCTAAACGGCACCTCCCAGAACGGTCCTGAATGACAGCATGTGCTGTGTGTCTTGGTTGCATCAATGCAAAGCATTCTTCATCTTCTCTTTGTGCCTTCTCCTTCCAGGTACCACCCATGCAGCTGTAAGCGTGACCAAGTCATCTGGGAGTTCCAGGTGAGCGAACCATTCGGAAAGAAAGGTGCAAGGCTCCGCCTGTGTGTCAGTGTCGCAAATTCCTTCCTATGTCCCTGTCTTTCATCTGTTTCTCTCATCTTCTCTCAGAAGCCACAACCTCCACAGGAGTCAGTGGAACCATGGTGAGCCTTTTGTTTTATGCCCACTAAATTCACAGTATGACAGTATGTTGCATGGGTGTAGAGACATTTTTCGGAGCCTGGATAACCTCTCAGGAAACATCCTTAAAGAAAACTGACTTCCCTTCTTCCAGTAACTCTCAGTTGCTAATAGTTCCACAGCTAGCAAAAAGACTTCCTGACTACCTTACCCATCCATACTGGGGTTTTGCCTGGCTGGATCTTTTATTGTTGTTGTTGTTGTTATTATTATTATTATTATTTTATTACTTTAAAAAATACCAATCCAAATTCCCACTTCCTCTGCTCCTCCCACTTACCTCCCACTCCCTCCACACACCCTCACCCTCACCCCCCTCCAATCTTAAGAGAGGGCAAGGTGCCCTGGCCTGGCTGGATCTTGCCTGTACTTACTATCATATCCACTGTAAAATTGTACACTGCAAAATAGCCCTGTTGCTGCCTGAAAATACTGTGGCCTTGTTGCATCTACCATTTACTTGTCAACTACCTTCTCTGAAAAAGGTTGAGAAATGCATTCATTATTAAAAGTCATTAATTCATTTAGAAGTCAGTTTTTACCATGTCCATTTGGCAGAATAATAATGTAAGTTCTCCTCTAGGTCCTATGATCTATGCAGTTGCACGTTCTTGGCTCAAATAATGGTGCCACGTATGAGTTCTATCTTTAGGAGCAGGCCTTAAATTCACTCCGAAGTGATTGGTTACTCCAATAACACTCATGCCATTACTGTACCAATGACCATATCTTATCAAGTCACTCATTGCTATAACTGGCAGAGAGTTCACAGCTGCATGAAACCGATGATTGCTTTTCTCCTCTGATACCATGCATACTACCTTCTAGTACTATGAAAGCTAGTGAACTGTGATGAACCTTCCAGGCTGGTACTAGCTTGATTTCCCTAAGTTCTATGATTCAAATATGTGGTATCTTAAGCAACAGGATCTTAGCATCAAGTTTTGGAAGATAACCAAGAGCAATAGTTATAGCCTGCCATGTTTAAAGGGTCTATTGAACCCCAGTGAGCAAATAAAAATAAAAATAATAATTTTTTAAATGATAAAAGCTTGAAGAAACATATCCCACATGGTTGAATAACACTATTCCTAGAAATCAAGTTAATAAAAACTGTAGTGTCAGGTGTGGAATAACTCCTTGGGATCAGAGGGACTCAAAAGCCCTCCCCAACACATTCAAAAAAATAACAAAGGCTATTGTCATTGTTCTTGGTTGCCCACCATACTTAGATGATAAGGCTCCATTGCTGAAGACAGCAAACACTTCGCTGGTCAGACAAAATGTTCTTTACCCAGCTGTGAAACCTGCAAGCTACAACGGCAATCTTCCAGACAAGGTAAGTCTACTGGTGCAATAATGGAATGACCGTTGTGGATTAACCAACCACTCTCTGATTTGACTGGCCTACTCCACAGGAAGAATTTATTCCTGATACTGTAAACCTGCTCAAAGGGCCATGACTGTGAAGGCCATCAGCCCTAGAAGGGAACCTCTTATTGGTGAACATGTCATCAAACTGCCTTCTAAATATTTGTTCACACTCCTAGATTAAGGTTGCTCTCAGGTATGGTCAGAGAAGTTTCTATTTGCAATGGATAACAAACAATACAGACTCATACCTTTCTAGACAAAGTGCTGAAAATAACTGATTCTTAAGTATAAAGCCCTCAACAGGAATCTACACCAGCCTTTCCAGGCTCTAGGAAACATGGAAGAATAGAAGAATGAATGTAAGATCCAGAAATGGAAAGGAATGTCACACATAATACTATTTTTGCATGTGACATGGCTGCTGCTCCAAAGAACTCACAGTGGTCATTTGCATAACAACTGCACAAGTCCATGAATATCCCACCATGGATAGAGGAGAGATCATAAAATCCCACATCTCTCTGGTATTGCCAGTTGATGATTGCTAGGGGACAGGAATCATATTTCTTGGTGAAATACGTCCTAGAAAGTTGTCTTTGTTTGAGTAAATAGCACACACTCATGCTCAGACTAACAACTCAAGACACAGTGAGCTGGGAGCGGGGGGGTGGGGAGGGCATGAAAGTAGGATGGGGACATTGGAAGAACAAGTGATTTGGTAGGAGGAGGAGTGAGATGAGAGAGGACATTTGGGTCAACAAGACAACATGGCAGCCTGCAGAATGGGAAAAGATCTTCATCAACCCCACATCAAACAGAGGACTGATCTCCAAAATAAGCAAAAAACTCAAGAAATTGGTCATCAAAACATAAAATAATTTGATTTAAAAAAATGGGGTGCAGACATAAACAAAGAACTTTCAACAGATGAATCTAAAATGGCTGAAAGACACTTAAGGAATTGCTCAACATCCTTAGTCATCAGAGAAATGCAAATCAGAACAATTCTGAGATTCCATCTTACACCTGTAAGAATGGCCAAAATCAAAAACACTGATGACAATTTATGCTAAAAAGGATGTGGGGTAAAGGGAACACCCCTGCATTGCTGGTGGGAGTGCAAACTGGTACAGCTGCTTTGGATAATCAGTATGGCAGTTTCTCAGAAAATTAGGGAATCAACCTACCTCAAGACCCAGTAAAACTACCCAAAGGATGCTCATTATACCACAAAGATATGTGCTCAATATCTTCATAGCAGCATTATTTGTCACAGCCAGAACCTGGAAACAACCTAAATGCCCCCTTGACTGAAGAATGTATAAGGAAAATGTGGTACATTTACACAATGGAGTATTACCCAGTGGAAAAAATAATGATGTCTTGAAATTTGCAGACAAATAAATGGATCTAAAAAAACATCATATTGAGTGAGGTAACCCAGACTCAGAAAGATAAATATAATATGTAGTCACTCATAAGTGGCTTTTAGGCATAAAGCAAAGAAAAACCACCCTACAATTCACAATACCAGAGAACCTAGACAACAAAAAGGACCCTAAGAAAGACATACATTGATCTAATCTACATGGGAAGTAAAAAAAAAAAAAAAAAGATCTCCTAGGTAAATTGGGAGCATGGGGACCATGAGACAGGGTAGGGGGAGTGGAGGAAAATACATAGCTCAATAAAGACAATTTTTTAAAAAAAAAAAAAAGAGAGAGGATATTCGGAAGAATACAACTAAAGTGCAGAGAGAGAGAAAGAGAGAAAAGGAGGAGGAGGAGGAGGAGGAGGAGGAGGAGAAGAAGAAGAAGAAGAAGAAGAAGAAGAAGAAGAAGAAGGATTGTAAAAGAATAAATAAACAAAAACTGAAACACACACACACACAAAAAAAAAACAGAGCTTACTATGTACCTGGCATGGTAAAATAAGGTAGATAATATGTTCTTCTTCATTTAATTAATGGAGAAAATGAAACTTAAAATTAAAATACAAACAGCAGAGAGCAAGGAATTTCATGAAAAACATTGAAGCAGGGTAAGAAGAAGGAATATAACTAGCTCTGCTCTGGAAATTGAGGCAGAGAGCGGAGAAGTTTTTCTGAAGGAGGTGTTTACTGCTAAGTTCTCCCTAGAGAGAAAGCAGCCATGTGGGGGACTGACAGGAACTAAAACCCATGAGGGAAAGTAGTCATGAGGGCTTTGTATTTCATAGTTGTCCATTGCACACAGAGTCATAACATAATGAAACATTTCCCTGTTGATTATTAATTGATAAGTAGTCTTTGTACTAAGTCTTGTAAATGTCCCCATCTTCCTTTCTACCACCACTTCTCTCTAGATCACCAAACCACCTCATGACACAGTGACTAAATGGTCAAGACCTAGCACAAGGACTGAGTCAGACATCAGAGCTCCACTGACTAAATGCTAAGCACTTTGAGCATTGTTCCTCTTATATATAATACTAGAGATGTCCGTTCTGCCAAAGACACAATAGATGTGGTCCTCAATGTTAAGGCTGCTCCCTCTAAATGAAATAGACAAAAATATCCAGATGAAGAAGTGGATGAGTCTGGGCATGGTTTAGAAATGAAAAGATGAATATTTCCCAACGGAACTGGTGTGGGCCTTAGAAAGGACTCAATAGTTACCACACACACTCCAGGAGGTTGTGGTAATATGACAAGGTAATAGACATGAAATCATTTATTGTTGCTGATAAAATGTGGGCCACTATCCCTATCCCCACTATCCCCAGTGTACCACTGACAGCATCATTGAAACATACCCTACCTGTTATTTGGCCTCTTCTTAGTTCTGTCCAGACAGCAACATGAGAGGTAGACACTCTTAAAGATAACCACAGAAAAGAGGAACAGTATAAGGTCACAATAGGAAGTAAAATTTCCTGAAGTTAAGACAGTGTAGAGATATGTGCACATCAGTTTGAAGACAATGTGTTAATAGATAACTTTCCTTAGTACCGATGACCTGAGACATTCTCAATATCTATGTTAAGTTGGTAGTATCAATGACAATTAATTTGTCTTCTATGATACAAGCATTATATCTGCAAGACTCCCCTTCCAGGATTGTAACAAGAACCTACTGAAACAGCACATGAGAGGATGCTACTCAAAAGTACATTTTGATTCTACCAAAGAGATGTGTGGTAGACAGTGTAGAAACTATCTGCAGGCTACAAAGACTTAGGTATTTGTCTTATATCTTCTTACCTCACCCCATGGCAACCACAGCATATTATATTTATTCCAAAGTATTTACCATCCTTCAGTAGATTAAGGGAATGATTATTGAAGACAGCAGATGACAAAAATATCGTGTGTCTAATATTCTGTGCCTAGAGGCTTAAGTTCAAAGTTTGGTATAATTCCTATGGTACTTTACACCCTCCCCCCAAACACTATATCAAACAATTTTTAAAATTTTGTCAGTAGCTCAAATTCTCTGCCAGTATTTTTCAGCTTTCTCTTTCTTCCTTGAGGAATGAACAACATAGCCTTCTAAAGCTTAAAATAGACTAGACAAAATTTTACAGTCATCAATTAAAGTAAGACATCCAGGCCAGAAACCAAGCTGTCTGACCAACCTTGAACAAGTTGGTTAACCACTAGATGCCCCTAGGAGATGGGAAATTGCTGATATCACCTCAAGGGCTATGGTCAGGTGGAAATTAGTCACTGTTGACCACAGGTATGGAGAGCACTGCCAAACATCATTCTACATGTGACACAATGTTGTAGGAGGCGGCTTGCTTGTTCCCAGCTGTTTAGCCCCAAAATAACCACACAGAAACTGTATGAATTGCAATACAGCAATACTATTTGGCCAATAGTTTAAGCATATTACTAGCTAGCTCTTACATCTAAAATTAACCCATTTACATTATTTTATACTTTACCACAAGGCTCGTGGCCTACTGGCAAGGATCCATATGACAACTGGCATCTTTCACCTCTGATGGCTACATGGTGTCTCCTTGATTCCACCTACCGTAAATATGTATATATATATATACATATATATATTCCAACCTGGCTACATTGCGTTAAGCCATTGGCCAAAAGCAGCGTCTTTATTCATTAACCAATAAAAGCAATACATATACAGAAGGACTTCACACACCAATACAACCTACTCACAATTCCGCACTGTCCCCTGACTCTGTCTGCATTAGCACCTTTCACACTGAGGTACAGATAAAATATAGAACTCTGCAGGTATAAACAAATAGATGGCTTTATTGACTTCTGACTGCTCTCTCCCAACACAGTGTGAGTTTCCTGAGACCAGAGTCTGAATATGTATGTCTTTGAGTCCCTGCTGACCATAGTCCCTGGCATACAATGTACACTTCACAGTCTCTGTTTATTTTTATGGGACTGGGGATTGAACTCTGACCTTCACACGTGCCAGCAAGTACTCTACCACAAATGTCTGTTTAATCAGTGCATTTTATATGTTCACCTTCCAAAAGACCAGCAGATTTCATTTGCATTAGAGACAAAGATCCTTTATGGTGTTCTTTTTTCTACATGAATATTAAGATGTACCAACAGGAACACACACACACACACACACCTCTCAAAGTTCATTTTTCTTCTATTATAGACGCCATGTCATATTCGGGGAATATGACTATATCTAACATTTCTTGTATTCATTCTAGGTGCTTCTAAGAGATGAGGTCTAATAAGAGGCTATCATAGAGGTTGTAGCTTTAAAAGGAATTATGACAACTCTCTGCTGACCTCTGTGGAGCCCTCAAGAAAGGGGTGTTATAAAAACCTAGTCTGACCCTACCCAGACGTTCTGCTTCCCGGTTCAGAGGTGGGATTGTTTGTTAACTCTTTGGCATCCAGAACCCTCCCCAGAGTCTGAACCAATGAGACTTTCCATTTTTGATATTTGGATCTCTCAGTTATAAGCTAAATTGAACCATTTTCTTTATAAGAAGTCTGCCTCAGCTATTTTGTTATAGTGATGACCAGTATAGCTTGAAACTGTTTGGTGATAATATGGCAGTAGATATGAGTATTAAGTAATAAGAAAAAAATTACTAAGTAAATAAAATTGTGAAACAAAGAATGGGGATTTTTAAATCCATAATCAAGTAGATACGTGGAGGTATGAGGCAGCAGGACCTACTCGGGAAATCTGTATCACTAAACAAGGCCAAAATGAAGAGCATGTCTGAATGCATTGAAGGAGTTAAAGATGGGAAGTTTGTTGAGACTCACACTATGCAGAAAAAAGTTTTGTACACTTCCAACTGTGTTCACAGTGCTAGGTCACAATGAGCAGATAAAAGGAGTGCTGTGATTACTGTGTTTTGAACAACACCCGAAGCATCTACATCCCATTCTCAGCATCCTTTATTCTCCTCTGACTCTATTTTTGCATGGCACTTAACCTCACCTGAAACACCATCTAATCTAATGCTTGTCAGTCTCCCCATCACCACCAGAAGATAAGCCTCAGAAGGATAGGGAAGAAAGCACCTGTTTCACTAAATATCTATGTAATAAATATGTAGTTAGTATGTGGGGTAAACACACAACTTTTCATCTTCCAGCTCACCCACTTGTCAGGACATCTTCCTTCTGAGGAATAAGTTATTCTGATGGAGCAACCAACGTTTAATAAAGAATAGGAGGAAAATGTTGAGCAAAATTCTCTGACCACACATTTCATCCACAAATACAGAAAACCACTTAAACGTCAGTAATTCATTCTAACTTTCACCTCAGAGAAAGAGATTTAAGCATCCAGCATGATCCAAAACAGATCTTTAAGGTCAAGTGCCTTCAAAACTATGCAGAAATAGTATGACAGAATGGCTTTATTTGACAAAATTTTATTTCCCTAAAATAATTTCTAATGTTAATGCCATAGGGAGGAAATGTAGGACAATGACAGCTAGGTTTGCATACACCACAGTAATGCTGACCTAATGCTATATAATTTTAATACCTTACAGCACTGGTTCTCAACCTTCCTAATTCTGAGACCTTTTAATACAATTCATAATATTATGGTAACACCAACCATAAAATTGTTTCTTTGCTACTTTATAACTGTAATTTTGCTGCTGTTTTGAACTACAATGTAACTATATGCAGAATATCTGATATGCTAACCCTATGAAAGGGTCACTTGACCTCATAGGAGTCACTACCCACAGGTTGAAAAACTATGCCCTATAATAAAGTGATTAAAATGGACACTCTTCCATAGCCGAACAAGTACTTTTTAACTTTTGTGTATATCTGTTTCATATCATGTGTGCAAATACAGACACCAGTGCCTCTCGTATATCATGTGTCCTCTGTTGTTTCCTGCCTGATCTCCTGGAGACTGGGTTTCCCACTGAACATGGAACAAACTATTTTCAAGCACACTGGCTGGCCAGCAAGCCCCAGCTACTTTCCTGTTTCTGATTCCCATAGTGCTGGAATAACTTGCATGAAGTCACACCTGAATTTCATATGGGTGATAAAAATCTGAATTCAGATTTGAAGCTTACACAACAATCAGTCTTACCTAGTGACCCATCCCCTCAGCCCAGTATTTAGGTGAGCATATTTAGCAAAGTTTTAGCATATTATGGTTCAGAAAGCTCATCTAAACCCCACCATTCTTTCCCAAAATTCAGCATGGTCTTCTTGTTTCTTGATGCTGTCTTACTACTTCAGAAAGAGTTTAATTGCATTGTACTGTGCAACTAACCTCATGGGTTCCAGTGTCATGGGATCATTACTCCTGTTTTTGATTGTGTCTTCTCATCTGACTCATTGGAGTAGGGAAAGTCCACATCCAGCTCTGTCAAGCCACATCCTGCATCCCTGAAAACATGAGATGTCATCTGCACTTGTACATCTCACAGTAGTTCCTGCTATTTAAGCTCCATGTTTTGATGACTTCTTCTAAAAATTTCCTTTGGTTGTGTCTTTTGGAAGAAGGCAGCTGAGCCTTTCCTGGCTCCTTCTTGCCTCACCTGGTGTCTGTTAGATCTGTATCAGAGAGGTTTCATTTTCTTGAGTCTCCATGAGCCAACTCTCCACTGTCACTTCAATGCAGTCTGCACCTCAGTTGCTTACTATTTAGGAAGGTGCCAACTTGTGTTTTACAGGAAACCACCTGTCTGGAACATAATTTTCGAGTTCAAACTCAAGCCACTGCTTGCCAGAGCAATACCTATACCACTGTTCCCACAAAGAAGAGAACTCAACTCTTCTGAAATAACTACACTTTTAAGACGAAGAAACAAACAAATAATTTAAATATTTTTACTGATTGATGAAAGCAAAATATTTCTTAATATTGAATGACAAAATGAAACTTGTAAATTCAATCAAAAAAAACATTTTTAAAAGTTTTCTCCTGTCTCTGTCTGACTTTCTCTATGTTTCTCTGTCTCTCTCTGTTATACACTTCACTCATTATTTCTCTTTATACTGATGGAGAGTGAACCCACAGCCATGTACATGCTAGACAAGTGCTCTATCACAAAACAACATCTCCAACCATCCCTTTTTTTTAATTAAATGATTATGTTGATACAGTCTTTTGAAATTTCAAAAACCATTTAGGGCCTGATATAGTGACATTTTATTTATTTTTTTTAATGAATAAAACTTGCCTAAAGATCAGAAGGGCACAGCTAAGCCACTAGACTCAGGCAGTTGTGACACATACCCTTAATCCCAGGATTTCGGAGACAGAGACAGATGGATCTCTGTACATTCAAGGCCACCCTGTGATACACAAGATCATTGCAGAAACAAATCTAGGTGGTGGGTGCTTCACATTTAATCCCAGTAGTAAGGAGTTATGCATTTAATCCCAGCACTAGAGGGAATATAAAATAAGATGAAAGAGAGGCTTAGTCTGTTTAGTTTGCAGTCACCCAGCCTTGGTAGAAGAAAGACTTGTCTAGTGACTTGGTTGCTTTGCTTTTCTGGTTTTCATGTTGAACCCCAATATCTATCTCTAGGTTTTTATTATTCATGCTACATTTGGCACACAAGATGGGGCACAAACCCACGATTAAGAGTTTCATGCTTTACAGACTGAGCTAGTCAGGCCACAACCCGAGATATTTCTTCAACTTGTGTACTAGCTAGTTTTATATCAACATGACACAGAGTCATTTGAAAAGAAAAAAGTTCAATTAAGGAAAAATGCTGACTGGGCAAGCTGGCCCTGAGGGCATGTGAATGGAAAAGTGGGTCACACCTAACCACCCCAACCCCTTGTGGTGTCCTAGATGCGGGAAAGATGCCCTCCTTCTCCCTTACTCCTCAGCACCTGCAACAGGCAATGGAGCTGATCCTTTCCCTTTCCAGATGCAGCACACAGGAAACGGAGCCCTGTACCTCATCCGGGCAGCACAGTAAAGATGACCCTGTTCAGGGCAGAGGTGAGCAGGCCCCAGGAACTAGATCTGGCCCCATCCATTATCTCTGCCCATTATCTACCTTATGGTGGAAGGGATGAGAGAGAGATGTCCCCAACCCCACCACCCTGTGGTGGGGTACAAAAGCTGGCCCTGAAAAGTAAAAGAGATGTTCCTCTCATCAGCAACAGTACTTGGGATTGGTTCCTGCACTTCACCTAGGCAACAAAGTAGAGCTAGTCCTGATCTTGTAAGTATAGGTGAGCCAATCCTGAGGGCATGAACGCAGAACTGACCCCATCCTTTGCTCATTGCTGCATAGGGTGACTTAACTGGGCAATGTCAGAGAGCTCACCCTGGTGGTGAGGATGGGGAGAGCTGGTGAGCTGACCAACCCTGTAGCCACTCAGGCCCTGAACCAGGGTTATGAGATGAGCCATGCCAACATCCATCCCATCTGTAATCTGCTGGAGCACTTGAAGGGGTTAGTCCTGCAGACCCAAAGCTGCGGAATCTCCATAACATAGGACAGCAACAGAAATTTCAAGAGGAGCCCCAGTAAGGGCCCAGTGACAGTTATGTCACAGAAACTAGGGGCCTCAAACCAGTCCAATGTCTCTTTGCAATAAACACGTTCAATTAGAGATATATGAACAAAAGGATATAATGTGTGACTCAGTGTGACTCAGAAAAGTTACTTCACTCAACTGCCGACTGAGATGAATCTAGCACACAGGTTACACCATGAAAAATCTGATTAACAGCGCCCCCATTCAGCAGGAAGCAGTTTGGAGAGAAATAACTGCGCCCATATTCCCAAATATTGTTTATAAATGTTCTTTTACATTTAAAGGGGGATATGATATAGATATGAATAATTTGCATTGATATGGATTTTGCTTTAGTGATTTAAATTTAAGGTCAATCTTGTTATATATATATATATATGTATGTATATATTTCTGATCTTGACTAAGGTATTATGATTGTGTAGTTCGTTTAAAAATATAACATATATAGGTGGTTAATGGATAATCATTAATGATAGTCAAGCTTGTAGTCATGTTAGTTAGCTTTTCTAGATATATAGAGATATGTTTCAGTTAAATAGGCATTTTTCGTATCTTTCAAAGACTACAGAATATGGCCTTTTTAAATGCTTTTCATGACAGTGAGACACTCTGCTCCTGGCAGCACCAATCTACTTCAAGAGGAAGATGGACATCGAAGAGGATCCTTATGGAGTGTGATAGCCATTTGGGCAAGAAACTGCTCTTGCCTGGACTGTCGCATAAACTGGACACAGAGAACCCTCAGAGAGAGGACTACTGAACTTGCCTAAAGGTGAGATGATCTTTCAGGGTCCCTGATTCATGAAAGAGTCTGCGAGACATTCTGCAGGACACAGCAGATAGTGACTGAACTGCCTTTGAAATTTCCTGCTTCATTGAAATATCTGCTGGATACTATGGGCCTGTAGGCCGAAGGTGGATGCCCCAACGGTACAGAGGAACTTTGGGTGACTGTCCAGGCAGTGAGATGTCTCTGTCACTTCTAGAGTTTTGCAAGTTTCTTACTTGTTTACTTAGGTAATATTATATCCTTCTGGAGTCTTTGATGCAGTTGAAGAATATATAGATAGTTAGAGTTTTCCTTAGTTATGATAAAAGATAAAGTAGATGTAAATATTGTAACTGTAATTCTTGCTTTATAACTGTTTTGTTATATGTAATTTTGCTATGTTAAAGTTAAAGCCTTCCTTTTTGTTTAAACAGAAAAAGGGGAAATGATGGAGGAAGGTCATTGGCTAATAAAGCAACTGCCTTGGCCCATTTTATAGGTTAGAACTTAGGTGGGTGGAGTAAACAGAACAGAATGCTGGGAGGAAGAGGAAGTGAGCTCAGACTCAATAGCTCTGCTCTCTGGGGCAGACATGATGAAGCTCCGACCCAGGATGGACGTAGGCTAGAATCTTCCCGGTAAGCGCACCTCAGTGCTACACACATTAATAGAAATGGGCCAGGCAGTGTTTAAATGAATACAGTTTGTGTGTTGTTATTTTGGGGCATAAGCTAGCCAGGCGGCCAGGAGCTGGGCTGTGGGAAGAGGCCCGCAGCTAATACTACAGAATGGCTTCCATGAAGAAATTTTTCTTTTCTCTTAAATTTTATTTTATGTTATTATTTTCATGGGAGGTTGTAAGAAGAGAGGGCAAATATGAAGGGACAGGGAGATGAATGGTATTGAGATGCATAATGTGAAAAACACAAATAATAAATTAAAAGTACAATGGTTTAAGTAAAATGTTGCAGGTCCCTGAGTGGCAGCAGTGGGAAGCAGATCATGAGACCACACCACAGGTCCCCAAGCAGCAGCAGGCAGTGGGCAGCAGGTCCTGAGACCACGACAGGCCACAAAGGCAGCCAGTTCTGGTTAGGGAGCAAGTCCTAGGCAGGGAGTCACATGGTGGGTGAGAGACTGAGATAGATAGACATGTCACAAGACGACCCTGCAGGTCTCTGAAGGCAGTTGCTTCTGGGCAGGGAGCCACACATCAGGTGAGAAAAAGAGACATGGATAGGCATGCCATGCAGAATGAGGTTGGATATTTATTTAGTGGGTTATGGGGGGAAAAGGGGGAGAGGAAGAGCAGAGAGGGAGGCAGAGAGAGAGAGAAACAGAGGGGGGAGGGAAGAAGTAGGGAGAGGGAGAGATAAAAGCTGCTCTAAAGAAAAAGAAAAATGCCCCCACCAGACTGACCTGTGGGCAAGTCTGTGGTGGATTTTCTTGATTGATGATTGACATGGGATGGCTCAGCCCATGGTGGGTTGGTGTTCCTGGGTACAATAAAATATCAGGCTGAATAAGCCATAGAAAGCAAGCTAGTAAGCACCACTCCTGAATGGCTGCTGCTTCACTTCTTTCCTCCAGGATCCTTGAGTTTCTGCCCTTTCTTCCCTCTGTGGTGGAGTGTGAAGTAAAGTCTACTTTCCAAGTTGCTTTTGATTGTTGTGTTTCATCACAGTCATAGAAACCCTAACAAAAACAACTTACGAATGAACACAGTAACTGGTCAGCAATGCCTAAATGACGTTAAAAGGCAGGAGACTCTTGTGAGAGACAAAATACTCATCTTCACATCTGCATTACTCCTCCTTGTTCCACATCCCATGGGGATGATGCATATGAGCTGAGTCCTCACGCAGTGCATCTGTGTCACAGTGGAGAAATTCTAGTTTAGGAAAAGTCCCATTTTATCAGCAATTGCTAACAAATCCACCCAAGTTCTACAAAGAGAGCTATCATTTGATAGGCTATTGTCCTTATTATCCTAATCAGGAAGGAAAAATTCCCTCTATCTGTTGTACAAAGAGGCTGCTTGTTAGTTCCCAGCCACCTGACCAGCTTAGACCCAAAATAATCACACAGAAATTGTATTAATTAAGTCACGGTTTGGCCCATTAGCTCTAGCTTCTTATTGGCTAACTCTTATATATTAATTTAACCCATTTCTATTAATCTGTATATCACCATGAGGTTGTGGCCTACCAGCAAAGTTTCAGCACACATATTTCAGCAGTAGTTCCATGGCATATCTCAACTCTGCCCT